AAGAGCCTTTAAGAACTAGCTATCCTTTTGATGGAATACATTGTGCCAGAAGATCTCATAAAAAATACATTCTAAGCTTCTATTTGTCTCGAACGCGGTTGCATTGGGCGTAGTCAGGTCAGAGTAATGCTGCATAGGGTTGGTTGGAGGGCGGAATAGGCCCCTGAGGCCCCTATAGCTGAGGGTACGAGAGCTACCCGGCAAATCAATCCACAAGTAATGGTATGAGGTCCTGACGCATCCCCTTTTATACTCATCTTGCAGGGTAAGATTTCTGGTTCTTTGTAGCTTTGGTCACTATGGCCGGTGATCAATTTTAGTTGATACATGGTGTGCAGGAATAAATCACCATTTAGTGCCCATCGGTGCCAGAAATGAAGAACTCCCTACATTGGTGGTTCTTCATTTACGACTTCAACACTTGCTCACAGATGGAAAATTGCTGTGAAATTGAAGGGGACAACATCGAAAGGAATCACATTGGAAACAAGAAAGTGTTGAATGAAAAAAATGATCGTGGAATCATGCATACTATATCTTTAAAACTGAGGAATTGAAAGTACTTACTCGGGGGTGGTGTTGGAAACGAGTCTGGTTTTCCACGACCTTCCAAAAAAGTACATGATAATTCAACATCTGTATGACAGACGCTCTCGTATACCATGGCTTCACCATGAAACGCAGGGTTAATCTTTTATGCCAGTGCTGTTCCATTGTATCTACTGTACTTTTCAGATATCAGCAGCTAGTTTTGATTTTACAAAAAATCTCTCAATATTATCTTCCTCAAAGCAAAATAAAAGCAGCAATACACAATATGTACATTTGCTCTAAATAGGCATTCGGGAACATCTTGCACTTTAATTCAGACAATGTTACGAAAATACATGCAATAAAGGAATTTTCTTTTTCATAGTATATGTTTAAGGAAATTATGCAATGAAAAAAATTCTGAAAAGATTTGAAAGTTGAATAAACATCTTGCACTTTAATTCAGACAATGTTACGAAAATACATGCAATAAAGGAATTTTCTTTTTCATAGTATATGTTTAAGGAAATTATGCAATGAAAAAAATTCTGAAAAGATTTGAAAGTTGAATTAAAATTAGAAAAATTTATTGAAAAATGTATTCCTTAGGAAAAATTCTTATTCAGGTTCCTTTGGATTTTCAAGGATGCTACAACTCCATAGAAATGCTGATATATGTTTACTTCAGTCTTTCAACCATCCCTTCGGTAAGAGATTTACTTCATGAACAATGAACTTGAAGCAATGAGAAGAAATCCAAGGTACGTTCTGGGTGACACGAAATAATGTGCCCGGGTCGTAAAGCAGGTTCCCCAATATGTAAAAAGTCCATGCTTCTCTTGTTCGATAAAGTAATAAAGTCTGCGTTTGGAAACAAAGAATCATCTATTTTGGTCGATTTGTTTCGAAGTTACAGTATTTTTTTGTTTTCATGACTCCGCTGAGACACGCGTGTTAGCAGCATTGCGTTCATGTTTAAACATGTCTGAAGACGCGTTCAACTCAATGCCGAACAATGCAACTTAAAACCTCATCAGGAATCGCGGAATTCAGTTTTGTGGTGACGATATGTAGCACGGTAACTCGCCTGACCTTAACCCTAAGGAAAATTTGGGTGAAATCATCAAAGACCATGTGGAAGAACGAATGCACCGTGAGCACGGGCGCGGTCATTATTCCGAATCCTCCCTTCTGACCAGTTTCACTGGCGTTCTTTATGAGCTCGAAGAGGACACTAAACTATTTGAAAGTCTTATTTTTTCGATGCCGAATCATATTCTAGCGGTTCTGGCAGCAGATGGAGGTCATAGTGATTGTTGAATTAATGTTTTTTCGTTGTGATTGAATGAAAGAGTAAAAAAAAAACAGGAAAATATTCATACCTTTGCAACGAATCGATCAAATTATAACAAATTTGGTTTCCCAACGCAGATTTCAATTCTCTATCGAACAACAAAAACTAGGACTTCCTATCTCTCCGAGAACCTGCACCACGACCCGAGCACATCATTTCGTGCCACCCATTACATAACTGGAAATAACTCTGTTTACAAGTNAAATTATAACAAATTTGGTTTCCCAACGCAGATTTCAATTCTCTATCGAACAACAAAAACTAGGACTTCCTATCTCTCCGAGAACCTGCACCACGACCCGAGCACATCATTTCGTGCCACCCATTACATAACTGGAAATAACTCTGTTTACAAGTAGCCATGATACCAAGGAACCTGAAGCGATATGTTTTAGTATAATGTTCGACAAATTCTTTGAGAATGCTACAAAAAATGCTGAAGATACATCAAGGAAGGTCAATGGTATTGTACCACGGGTCTCAGAAGGCTAAAGAGGCAGGATTTTTTGGATGTCACCAAGTGGGAACACGAAGAAGAGAGCTCAGAATAAAAAAAGACGCCATGACGCCTATCACTTTCATGTGGCTTAAATGTCTTTTGAGTAGAGGTTCCTGATTATCGTATTCTCTCACCTGTGGGCATATTAACTCCGGGAGGGGGTGTTCCAAACATTTCTGCAAATCCAGGCGGCAAGCCTCCAGATCCTCCAGATCCTCCCGAGCCTCCCGGTCCGCTTCCACCTGAGATCAGCACAAATCCTCGTACCATTGTTCTTACAGAAGTAGTAGTGTTATAAACTATTCTGTTGTATAAAAATATAACATTTACATCTTCCTCACAAGGAGGATATCCAAAATGTATGAATCTAAGTCTTTCCTGTGACATTTGGGATGCATTCATTACTTTTTAAACAACATGATCCTATGTGATACGGTACCAGGCGAAAGATGCTATAGGCCAATTATTTCGCCCTGACTGGAACACCAGCTAAGCCGCACTCATCTAAGCCCTCCCTCCCCGAAAGTTAGCTAACAAGAGTTACCTATAACCATGGTAGACAAAACTTGACCGGAGGGGTTTCTACGTAGAAACGATACTCGGGTTCAGCCTTCACATCTGGGTTATTTAACGTCTCATATCTAGAGCCAGGAGGGCAAAGTGCTCAGAATCTCCCTCCCTAAGCACGCTAGGGCTTCCATTCAGAGATTTTCGCAAAGACTTGGGAGGGTCGAACCCGGGTGATTCGTATCGCAATATCGAGACATATACCGACGAATGGACATCACGTCGAGGGACAATTAAGCGAACACGACCATGAATCGTAAGATTCATTCATAGAAGTGTCCGGAAATCAAAAGGCTTATGACGCCGGAAGGGTTACTGGGGAAAAGAAATTATTTTCTTAATTTCGGCTGTCTGGTTGCATGCTCCCGCTCATCTGTTCTCGTGTTATTAACTGAAATAGCGCCACTGTCATTTCACAATGAATCATGTCTGGGTCCAACATTTCTTCGCTCTTTGTACAAGGGCTGTTAAAAAAATTTGGGGAATGATTTCTTCCTGAGGTTACGATGCAACGTTTGTTTCTCTCTGATGAATGGCTATTGGGAGCAGTCTCCTTCAAAGTAGTTTCATTGGGCAGACACTGTCTAGCGCTCCTGCAAGGTCTCGAAGTACA